GCGTCACTGCTGCTCCGGTGGGCGGCGCTCCGAGCGGGGTCATCTGGCAGTCTCCGGCCACCTAAATTATGACCCGGAGACTGCCAGATGACCCCGCTCGAAGCGCCGCCCACCGGAGCAGCAGTGTCGCGACGCTCGGCGAGGTAAGTAAGAAGAAAAAAAAAAAACATAGCGCAAGCTTCGGCGCTAGGCTTCGGGGCATTTTGACAAGTACGAGTACTTGTCAAAATGCCCTGTATCGGGCCCGATTCCGATGCTAGCATCGGTATCGGGACATCCCTACCTAAAACCTCGACATGGAGATCTCATCATCTCTCTACAGTATAGGAATGGATCTCTTGCATCTCTTGCATCTCTTGCAATGTCCCACATTTTGCATACGTGGACTAGCTTGCATCTCTTCAAATAAACCGAATCATTCTGCCATCTGATATACCCACACACAGACCCACTTCACAGCCTGCTGAAACCAACATAAGCCCTTTCCCTATTTCTCCCTATACCCCTCTTGCCCTCAGGTTCCATGTTTGCTCTACAATGCATTGCCTATGCTGACCAATCTACCCAATCTGTCGTAGGATGACACTTGCTAAGGATTTACAACCTCACCTATCTAACCACGCTTGGATGACCATGCATATGCATGAAGATGCTTCATCTACCAAAACTACATGCACACTGTGGATGAGCCGACAGGAGTAAGACTATTAAACTCCCACCCTCTTTTTTTCCTACAATTTTATATCGAAAAATTGACAGTTTACCATACAAAAAGTAACACCCTATTCCTTTAGCCCTGATGAAGGGGGAGTGTTTCAGCCCCTGAAATGTGCTGGCTGTTTTGTTTAATGGCAGGATGAATTATAAAAGTTTCCTTAGACTCATTTACCATTAGTGCTCTTTCTGCGGTTTTATTCTAGGGATCTTTGTTGTGGAATCTCAGGTAGCAGCACCTTGTTTTAAGAGCAGCCTAACCCAGAGCCTGTGAGCTCCAAGAAATGGATGAACTACCTAGAACAGTAAGACTTTGAATAAGTTGAAAGCACCTCTCAAATATTTTTTATTTTTTTCAGCATTAAAAACCTGACGGGGGTTCTAACCACTCACACCTCTATCCATAATTTAATAAAAGTCTTGGCTTTAGATACGATTCAATGGCAATTATCATTTATTTACCCCTGTTCTACTGTTTGTTTTATGGTTAGAGCTGTGTCATATGTCAGTATTATATAAGTAAGTAATAATAACAACAACAACATCAAAGGAAATAAAATGATATTCAAAAGTAAGTTGGTCTCACTTCTTGTTAATCCTCCTCCCAAAAAGACAGCAGCTACAGCCACTGACAACTTTCAATATCATTGCAGACTCAAATGCCAATGATCTAAAGAGCTGCAAAGCTTCACAACTTAATATAGTAAATCTCCCTCTTGTTCCTGGCTGATTGAAAAAGACTGTCATTGCAAGGACGCAGGAGTTGAGCGCCAGATATCCTTGAATTTCATTTTGATATTGAGAATGGTTTTGAGAGGACAGGGTCTCAATCATCAAAAGAACATCTAGGTCAGATTAACTAAATCTCCTTGGCTTGCACAGCAGTCCATATTTGTAGCTTATCTCTTACATCTGAGTGAATTACAAACATCCGAGTCTGCCTGCCTGACTGCATGA